TATTAGAAATTTATATTCTCCTGATTTTGTCCAGTTACGTGCATGAAGTATTTTGAAAAAGGGGAAACAACTCAAAGGGGCCCTTCTTGCGGATTCTGGCTCACAGTGGATCATCGAAGTTAACGATCTCAATTAAATGAAGACGCGGTAGGGTGGGTACTTCCTGGAGTCGTCAAACACCAACAAGAACTGGCGGGGCGGGACCCATCACCTTCAGCAACAAGCCGAGTTGGCGGCGGAGGCGCGGGCCACGTTCGACTTTGGCAGTGAACACCAAAAGGTGCAGGAAACAGGCACTGGCAGTGCCGCAGGGCAGGCTCCCGGGTGCCGCACCCCCACCTTCCGCGGGGAGCCCCTGATTGGGTCCTCCCCAATCCTCGGCTCCAGCCCGCCCCCGTCCGGGGAAGGTAGCCGAGTTCAGCGCTGACTGCCCAGTCCTGGCCCAAAATTTAAAGCGGGCAAGTTTTGTTCTTGAGACCACCGACTTTCGCTCCAACGCCAGGAAGACAGCCGACCTCTGACAGGAATTTAAAGAGCTGGGCTTGGACTTGGTGAGTTTTGCTTTAAGCTGTCTTCTGATTTGGGCTAGGCTTGAAGGTAAAATCATTGGGTGGGGGGGGGGGGTGATCCCTCCCCAATTGTATTTTTAAAAAAAGAACCGCTGTAGGGAAGCTTAGTTTGATGTAAATTAGGGTTTTCTTCTGTTGTGACTTAGGCCCCAGAAGCTCAAGGCTTAAGTGGCGTTACAAGAGATCTTTTAAAAGACTAGTCTGCCCTTAGAACTCTTGGCTCTAAGAATGAAAATCAGATGATCAAAGAACTGCAGCTCGGTCAAAACTTACCCACCGTCTATGCGTAACTGTTGTGTGCTCTGAACGAAAGGATCATTGGTCTAACACATTCTACTTCCTAATGAAAAGTGTCTGGACACCAGTTTCGCATGGAATTCATATGTGTGATCAGTCGTAACGATTAAAAAAATGCTCTGCAGCCCACCGCACCCTAACAGGGGCCGAGGGCCCTCGTGGATGGAAATGTTGTCTTCCCTTCCGGATCACTAAATGGGGGAAGTTCTGGCACGCTTGGAGGGGACAAGCCTCAGCTCCGCGGATGGTTGGTTCTTTGTGCCGGGAACGGGAGACCGACTCCCGTGGTCCGCAGAGAGGGCTCCGGGCCGCCCAGCCTCTGCCCCGCCCCTGCCCCGAGCGGCGGCCCCTCTGCACCGCGCCTCCTCACCGGAGCCGCTCTCGGGCTACGGCAAGGGAGACTCGGACTCTCCTTTAGCTTTCTTTGGACCGGGAGAGGTCTCCGAAGGGCGGACAGGGGAAGAAAGGAGAAGGGAGCCGAGAGGAGGTGAAGGCACGCCTGCTCGCATGGGTGGCTCCAGGACTTAAGGTTGGAATGCGCGCCGGGGCCAGGGCGCACGGCTGGAGCAGACACCCGGGCCTCGGCCCTCTGCTCTGGCCCGGACCGCGAGCGGCCCAGACTCGGGAGGCCCTAACCGCCACGGGGCAGGATTGCCCGCCGCCCGCCAGCGCGGCGGGGAAGGGGAGGGCGCGTTCCCTCTCCGGAGCGTCTTTGTTCGCTCTGGCTGGCGGGCGCGGGCGCCCGGCAGCCGACACCCCGGGGCCGAGTGCCGCCCGAGTGCGGCAGGTAGGTTGGGGCCCCGGAGCTCCAGTTGGGGTTAAGTTTTTTGGGGCCCAGCGGGTTCCTCGTCCCCCGGGGAGCTCCGGTGAGGCGGATACCGAGACGCAGCGCGGGGATACCGAAGCGGGCCGGAGCGCGGGAGCCCGCGGGCGAACACCGCGCCCTGTGGTTCCCGGATTCCGGATGGGATCCCCAATCGGGCTACCATCCCTGAGCTGCAGGGGTGAATTCGGGTAGAAAGCCTGTGTCGGGCTGGAAATTAGGAAGCCGCCAGACTGGGGAAACTTTCGGCGAGTTACCGACTAGGGAAATGGAGACAAGGAAGTGGGCAGGCGGAGGAAACTGGGAAAGGAGACCTCTTGTTACCGGTAGGTCTTGGCCACTCTATTTTAACTGCCGAATTTTATTTTGTATCCTGAAGTGACAGCCGGTTGCTTACCCAGATACAATATAAGTCAAAGTAGTAACTTTGCATCCGATTCTAACCACACAGCCTATATTTTTTCTTATCCAGTGTTGGTTTTCATAGGTTATGGGTCATGTTAAAGGGACACCGATGTTGTAACTGCACAGTGTCTGCTGGTGGCTTGTAGCTCTTATTTAGGGTAATTCTCTGATGAAAGTACATCAGTTAGAATTGGATTTGTTCCTCTGTGTCTTTATTTTGGGAACTTTGCCTGGTCCCTATGGGGGAAGGGAGAGGAATGTGAGAAACTGAAATTGACCCAGAAAAGGATGCTCAAAGATAGTTGTGTTCAGTGGTAGCGCAGAAAAGAGCCCCTCTTGAACTTTCTGAAAGGGAAATTGGTGATTAGCAGCTGAAAAATTAAGTTGAGAAATTAAGCTTCTCAAAAGAAACTTAATGATAGATTTTGTATCTTGTCACATGGGAGGGAGGACTGCTTTATTTGTTCAACTTTTTTTTTTTTTAAGATTTTTATTTTTTTATTTGACAGAGATCACAAGTAGGCAGAGAGACAGGCAGAGAGAGAGGAAGGGAAGCAGACTCCCTGCTGAGCAGAGAGCCCGACGCGGGACTCGATCCCAGGACCCTGAGATCACGACCCTAGCCGAAGGCAGCGGCTCAACCCACTGAGCCACCCAGGCGCCCCTTGTTCAACTTTTTTAATTATTATTTTAAAACAAGATAAACTCGATACCTGAAAGGTTTACATTAGACACTTCATATGACCCTTCTGTCTCCTGCTCCTTCTCTCCGTCCCTTCCCCTTCTCCTACAAGCCCCCTCCATTTATTGAGCACTGGGAGGCTAAAGCTGAGGCTCACTCCCTCTAACTCACCTCAGTTCCCCTGGGGCTCACCCCCAACACCTTCTGATGGGGATGAGCTTTATGACAGGGAGAGTTCAGGCTAAAGCTCAGAGAAGCTGTTTCCGAGTAAGTGAGAAATGAAGGGTGGTTAGGAGGCATTGGTGCTATTACACACAAATGACTTGCCCAAACAAAAAAGTCCCCAAAACCTCAGAATGTAGAGAATAATTTTCAAAATAAACTGCAGGCTCTAGCAAGTAAAAACGTCACATTACATTTCCTTAAAATGGAGATCAAATTCCCCTTTTATAAAAGATTGATTCAAATAAAAATATTGTAGGAAAGTGAAATAACTTTCTAATTCTTAAATATAGAACAGCTTGAATAATAACTCTTGGGTTTTGAAATGGGTCATCTTTTAAAATGGGTCACTTTGGCTGGAATTATTGCACTTGGTGACTTTCAAATTGTAGGTAGAGTTCTTTCTCAGGACCAACTGCCCCATAATCTACATAACAGAATATTAGGATGTTATAAGAAAGAAACTGGGAGAAATTCAGAAGGAAGTGGTCTCTTTTTGAAGTAACACTGTATCCTATCTTTTTGGAATTTTATACATGCTCAATTGAATTGCCCTAAGCTTTGCATTTTATAGCACATTAAACCTTTTTTGGAATATTTCCATAGCCATTATTTTATTCCGTTGTTAGAATAATCTTGTTAGGAGCTGCATATATTGTGTTTGTGTTCCAGAAATTAAGGCACAACAAATTATTATAAGAGCTCTTCCATTTGCCAGCAAAGATTTAGCCAGAAAGATGCAAATCCAGGATATTTTTCTTTTTCTTTTTTTAAGAGTTTATTTATTTATTTGACAGAGATCACAACAAGTAGGCAAGCGTTGAGAGAGAGGGGGAAGCAGGCTCCTTGCTGAGCAGAGAGCCCGATGTAGGGCTCTATCCCCGGACCTTGAGACCATGAACCCAGCCAAAGGCAGAGGCTTAAACCACTGAGCCACTCAGGCGCCCCCCCCAGGATATTTTTCTTATATTATGCGTGTATGTATGTATGTATGTGTATATATATACATATATATGTGTGTATATATATATATATATATATACATATATATATATAGGAGGTATAAGAATCTTCATACTGAAAGGTAAGAAACTTGATGAGGTGAAATGCAAACTTAGAATAAACAAAAGTGATTTTTTACTTTTCAATGCTGGAAGTTTAGAGACTGGCTTTTATCTATAACTTATTTTTTAAACTTTGTTTATATTCTGTAGTGAAGGCTTTGATCCTAGAAGACCGTTTTCTACAGAAAGGAATGTTCTACCATGTCTGTAAGCAATAAGCCCCTAAAAGTCCAAGTTTGAAATATTATCACACAGCTTAGATCCAAAAAAATTTCATATTTTATCTCTTTATTCCTTTTCCTACAATTTTTTCTGCAACTTTTTGATAGTGCTCTAGGCAGAGCAATTTAAAAAGCTGACTCAGCTTGGGTTTCCTCCATAATTAACAGGGCCTTATAATTTTTTGGCTGTGTCATCTTTGTAGAAATTCTTTTTTTTTAAGTGCTTGTGGGAGCCATATTGTTCTTTCCTATCAAAGATGATGGAAAGGCATGTTCAGCCAATTAGTAATGATACTACTGTTCTCAGTCTCACCAGTACTTGGGATGTGTTAGCAATCAGATCAGTATTTCTAAAAACTTGTATCTAATAAATATTTTTTTAGAACAATATTAGTGTATAGCTTATCATTTTGAAAGGTGATTAACCCCTAAAGAACATTAGCTACTGACTAATGGTATTGACATGGTACAGATGTATGAACAATTTCTAGAGAGAGGAAATTAGCATAGATTGAACACCTGATTTAGATGACACTTTGTCAAATAAATGGTCTCAAATGATCCTCAGAAAAGACTGTGGCACATTGTTTAGAGCGAAGTCAAACTCATGTGACCAGTAAATGGAAGCAACAGAATATGTCTACTTTTGTTCATGTTCTAAAACTCTTTTCGCTTTTCTACCCATGTGCCTCAATCAGGTCTGGATTCCAGATTGCACCTGCTTACTCCACTAGGGGGTTCTACACTGGAAACATCTCGGAAGCCTTCCCCGCATCCTGCCTGTGGCCTACTACACAGTATGTGGTAAATTCATATTTGTTGAATTAATTAAATGTAGGCACTACCTACTTTTGGGGCTGTTCCACCTAATGCCTGCAACAGGTAGATATTTAAATAAATGTTACTAATCTATTATAATAAATGTTGATTGAGACTGGAATGTTAAATATACATCTTGTATTTTACACCATTATTTTTTGTATTCTGTAAACTCTCAAATATTATTTCCAAATACAATAGAAGAGGACATATGAACTGCCATTAGACAAGAAGCCTGTATATCTAGTTCATATAATAGGTTTATACCAGGTTATGGTGTCACCCTATATTTTTTTTAAGATTTTATTTATTTTTATTTAGTGAGGGAGCACGTGTGCAGCAAGCAGTGGGGGTTGGGGAGGAACAAAGGGAGAGGAAGAATCTCAAGCAAACTCCATGCTGAGCATGGAAGCCCACTGCAGGGCTTAGTCTCATGACCCTGAGATCATGACCTAAGCCAAAATCAAGAGTCACGCATTTAACTGACAGAGCCACCCAGGTGCCCCGTCACCCTATTGTTAAATCACTGTTTTTCATATCATAATATTACCTCAGACGTGCCTTTCATTTCATCCAATACTTATTCATCAAATAGTTGGACTCTCTGAGTCCTGTACTTTTTGCTCTCCTCTCCTTCCCGCCTCACTTCTTGACCCCCTTCTGCCCTTAAATCCCCCAGTCTTCTTTGTGGAGGAAAGATTTTCTGAACCCAAAGGACACAAACTCACGTCGCTTTTGCCTATTCTCTTATGCTACTGGGACCAAGAAAAAGGAGGGAAAACTGAGACAGAAGGTTAAAGAAAGGGTGGGTTACAGAGAGAGTGAGAACAAGCTCTGACAAAAGGCAGGCGATAGTAAAATGTAAATGACTGCAGACTTCAGGGAAGCAGATTCTTTGCCTTGGTGGGTGCTTCTCTTGGCCCTGCCCCTCTCACTTCCCTGGCCTCCCATCCTGATGGACGCTGTAGGAAAAGCAGCTGGCCAGTGCCAGGGAGGAAGGCAGGTGCGGAGCTCAGGGACAGGACCTCCTGGAACCCATCAGCTGCTTCTGAGCTTCCACAGATTCTGGAATTAACCCATCAGCTGCTTCTGAGCTTCCACAGATTCTGGAATTTTGGAGGTTACGTGGTCAGCCCCATGTCTGGGTGCCTCAGTTTCTCCTGCAACACAGGGAGAGCTTTCTCCCTCATAGGTTGCTGTGAGGTTTAAAGAGTCTCTATAGAACTTAAAGCACTCTGAACAGAGCCCAGAGCACTGTAAACACTCTTAGGCTAGCAACTGTTGCTAGAATGGGCAAATGGAGAAATTGGTTTCTTAACTAGGCAAGAAAAAAACTGACAAGAATTGTATTTAAAAGAGCAAGCGGCCCTGTCCACACAAACAACTATGCCTCAGGAATCAGTACAGAAGGTCAAGCTTAGAGAATCAAGTGTTTGACCTCCCTGAGACCTACTTTGTATTTCTGCTTTTTTGTTTGTTTCAAATTCTGTTATCGGGAATTTTCAGTCACTTTTAATGTAACTCCTCTGAAATATAATAATACTCTATAGTCCCTCACCACCAGTTTCCTTAGTGCTTGTCTTTACTTAGGGCCTGCCTTTACTTGTTTGCTCATTTGGTATTCCCTTGTCTTTTTTTTTTTTTCCCCCTATAACCGGCAAACAGAAATCTATACCCGTGTTTAACTTATAAAGAAACATATAATTTAGTTTATATAGATGGGGAACTTGTTACTAGATTCACACTGTGGGTTTTATAACTAATTTTTCCCTCTGTCCCACATCCATGCTTGCTACAAGTTGTAATTTAGAGTCTTTGGGTAACACTGAATCCAGAACTAACTCTGTATTGTTTCTGGATAGATAACAACTCTAGATGGTTTCTGATCTCTGCCAATGGCTTCAGCTAAATTTTTATAGCTAAAGTCACAGCCACAAAAACACCTAAAGACCCCAACTAGGTAGAATTTTTCCTTTTTTATAGGCTTTATATTGGAAACACTCAAATATGGATTAAAAAATAAATACCAACTGAGGAAATATTTAATTTTTCACACTTAAGATGTGAGTTGTAAATTCAAATTTTGGGTTGTTACCTTCCGTTTTGAGCAAACGGAATAGGCAGTTTGTACTAAACTGTACCCAGTTGTGTTACTCATCACCAATGACTATAATGAATTTAACTAAGAAAAATGTAGGAGAACAAATTACAGCATTTACCATAAATTTAGGGCTAAACCTGATTTCCTTTAACATGGCAGCTGGGCTCTTGAGGATTGGTCCTAGCTCTCTTTAGGGGGAATAGATGGTTAGAACAAGCCAGGAAAATAATGCTTGGAATGAAGGGCAAAATGTCACCTAAGGATGGATAGAAATGTCATATTTCTTCCCTTTGAGTTATGCCTGGACAGGAACCAAAACTGTCTCATATGGGACTGACTATAAGTAATACAACTTTAAATATCAAGTGTTGAAGTACTCTGGCTTTTTTTTTTTTTTAAACTGATGTACTGAAGGAACATCCCTGGTTTATAATTATACTTTTATGACCTTTAAGTTTTGTGCCCTAAATGAGTGCCTCCCCTGCCTCTCCCTGAAAGTGTGCTCTGCCGAGGGGATGGAAAGGGTTGGCGAGCCTGGGGATCCGGGAAGAGGGGGCCCACATGGGGATGAGAAGGGACAATACATGTGATGTCTTCTCCTTTTTCTGTGGGCAGGAGGGGAAGCCCCAGCTAAGAGTGAGGGGCACAGACAGAGGGAGAAGATTGAGCATGGCTGATGAGGGGACTGGAGAGAGAGAGAAGGTCCAGGACAAGTGAAGGCTCCTCTTACAGCATTGAGCCCTCTGCCCACAGCTTGATATCACCATCTCTAGTAACACAGTCTGCCCAGGGGTTATGCCTCCCCTGCAGCCTAAAGGCAGGAAGGACCCGAGATCTGGTGTCATTGGGGTGGAAGAGCAGGAACCAAGGAGAGGAGGACAAAGGTGCCAGACGATTCTGCATCTGAGACAGGCAGGTGGGGAAGAAGGAAGGTCAGGAGATTGCTGGGTGGGGTGGGAGTGTTAGGGAGCAGGTAAGGGGTGGGCAGAGGATTCTGGGAGATTATTTAAGAGGCTGTGGTTGAAGAGTGATCAGACCAGAGAGTGCGAACTGGAATTTGAAATTTCAAAGGAAACGCAGTTGTAGGTGAAGCCACCTAAATGACTTTCTTGCCAATAAGTTGAGTGTGTGGGAGGGTATGTGAAAAAATGGTATACCCTTCATAACATAAGGGCTCCTTAGACTTGAGTGTTGCAGGTCTACTAAGTAAGACTTGGAAATACAGTTTCTCTAAGAATAGATGTTGGTGATCTATGACAACAATGGCCAGAAACAATGGTCAAGAAACAGATGGTTGGAAACAAAAACAGATACATTTTGAATTCAAACCCACGGGCTTTCTCTAGTTCCCTTCCTCAGCCTTCAGGTCTCAGATTCAGTGTTGCTCCTCCTGGAAGTTGCCTCCCCTGCTCCACCCACCCCCATCTCTCCCCTCCTGATTCCCAGCACAGACCCCACTCTTTGCTCCAGGACTCTCCTCCTGTTCAGAGCACCATCAGGGGCCTCATCTTTCCTGCCCTCCGACTGTCACCTTCTACTGTTCTTTACCTCATATTAACTTTCTATGAACTCGCCCTTTAAAATAGTTCCTTTTTAGGGACGCCTGAGTGGCTCAGATGATTAAGCTTCTGCCTTTGGCTTAGGTCATGATCTCCAGGTCCTGGGATGGAGCCCTGAGCCCTGCATCTGGCTCCCTGCTCAGTGGGGGAGTCCCTCTGACCCTCCCCCTGCTTGTGCTCTCTCTGCCTTTCTCTGTCAAAAAAAAAAAAAAGGAAAGAAAATAGTTCCTTCTTAGAAGAAATAACCATCTGAAGTTTTACAGAATTTGTACAGTATTCTCTTTCATTTGTCAAACGATATTACCTAGTCCTTGAACTCAAACCTGTGCAGATAAATTGAGATGCCACATAAATATACACATGCATGCACGGGCACATCAAGTAAAACACACACATGCACACAGACGCGTAAAGTGAAATACACACAGCATTTATGTGGGCATAAAGTAAAATCAGATGTTTCCTTTTCTTCCTCCTCCCGCTCCTCCTTCCCCTGAGTTTCCTTCCTCGGGGCCCCTCTGCTCCTCTCTGGTCCTCCTAGCAGCCACCTTCCTTATGCTTAGAGCACTGCCCCCTCTGCAGTCCTGCTGCCTCCTCCAGTCTCACCTCACCCCCTGGACTGCCCCACCTGCTGTCTCTCTCACACCTCTGCTCAACAGCAGCCGAAACCCAGACATGCTGTCCTCACTCCTAACTCAGGAAACCAGCTGGCCCTCCTGTGTGGCTAATGCTGGAAACCAGATGTCCCCCTCCTCCTTTCCTCCCATCCCAGGCCACTCAGCAGGGAGTGCTCGGTTTGTTTTCCTCCAAAGGGTCTTCCTTACCCCTGACTTCCCTCCTCACTTCCACCACCCTAGACCAGGCCTCCTCACCTCACTCTGCTTCAGTGTGAGGCCCCGAGGGAGCTGGGGGCCCCATCTCCAGGCATCCTCCATCCATCCCGAGAGCCACCACCAGCGTAGTCCCTTCATATGATGCTTAGTGCATGCATATTGACAAGGCAGTTTTCGTTCAAACAAAAACTGAAACGTCTGTGACTTCTTGCTGCCCTCGGCACACGCTGACTCCTCTGCCTCATTTTCAAGGTTCCCGACCATAAGCAGGCCCCAATCTCTCTGCTTTCAAATACCTGCTTGTATCTCAAATATTTGTGATGTTATTTTTTTTCCTTTCTTGCCTGAAACAGATTGCTTCTTTTCCTGTAACCATCTAAATCCTGTTCATCCTCAGGCCCTCCTATCCTGCTGTCACTGATCTCTACTACCGGGGACTTGTCTTTTTTGCCTAGAGTTGGTATTGTCTAAATTAGTGCTGTGACGCTATCT